CAAACGCGGGTTGCGTGAGGCGAAGAGACATTTCATTCAGCGAGTCGGGCCGGGCGTCGGAGGGTTGCAAAACGGGTAGGTTCCTCAAACGGGCTTCTCCGCAGTCTCCGGCGTCGTAGCCGCACTCTGGCTTGTTGCAACTCTGTTCAAGAAAAAAATATACATACAGCAAATATTCTTTTTTTTTCAAGGACAGGATGACCAGAGATTCTCAACATGTAAATCCGCAATTTTGGTGAGAAGGAAAAATGCTACACAAAATTCAAAAAGAATCAGAAGAACTTCAATCAACTAACACTGAGGAACAAAATGTTGACTGTCTTCAAGTAAAATTTTCTAGGAACCGGCAAAAAAAAAAACTTGGGGAAGTTTTAAGTGAGGAAACTGTTTTTTTTTTGTTAATACAGTACTCTACAAAAAGAATGCAAGATTATAAAAATCTGTGATCTTTTCGTCCGTAAACAGCAGAATACATGAGTCAGTTTCGAGTTAAGAGAGCAACTACAGTATCTTCTTGAACGATACCTCTCATAAAAAGGAAACATTGATTCTTGGGAAAACTTCAGCTGCCTCAGAAGTCTTGTAATTTGTTTGTCTTCAATACTCGTTTATTGTGAAGAAAATATTTTATACAGTAGCGCTACCCAACACGAGCGCCAGATCTGGCCCACAGAGATTCTTCATCCATCCTGCAGTCTCTTTGCTATAATTTTAAAGTGACAACCATCACCATAAAATACACATTGAAATATAAATTCAAAAATTCAAATGTTGCTCCACTCTTCAAGAAATTCTATAAGGCTATGCTTGTGATTCAATATATACCGCTAAATTAAATTTTAAACTCTTCATTTATAATGGAAATGTTTTGAACCTACAAATTATTGTCCATTGTGGCCACAAGGACTCTCCACATCTGCAATGTTGCCCTTCGCGGCCTTGGATACAGAAAAATGTACAGAACAAGTAGTAGAGCGTCCGCAGTGCGGACAAAAAAAGAAAAAAAAAATGAAAAAAACGATTGCAGAAGTGGGATGCAAACCCACGCCTGCAGAACCAGACTGTGACCTGAACGCAGCACCTTAGACCGCTTGGCCATCCTGACAACTTAATGTTAATTGATGCGTTTTCAAGTAGGCAAATTAATTCAAGGTGCAAAAGGCCACAGACACACGTTACANTGGCCATCCTGACAACTTAATGTTAATTGATGCGTTTTCAAGTAGGCAAATTAATTCAAGGTGCAAAAGGCCACAGACACACGTTACACGACGTCCTTATTATCCCCCCCCCCCCCCCAGACCCCTGTAGGATCCTACTGATCGTTCCTCCCACTGCGGACGTTTAATGTGGCCCTGGGCCACATCTGAGTTGGACAGCTTTATAAAGATATGTACCCTCATTATTGAACATACTCTACTCCTTACTCACAATCCTTTCACGAAATTCAGGATGACAAAACATGCTTGGCTAAACAGGGCACAGACATGAAAGAACTGTACCAAGTACCTCTTGTGCTTTCAGAATGAAAATCCTTGTCAACATATTACCGCAACCAAAAATTCAAGAAAAAAGCCAAGACACTTCACAGAAGTAACTCCTTGTAATTGTTCCAAGCACAAAAGATCAGAGTGATCAAAACAAATCACACCTGAAGTGCATTTCATATATTGGAGAAGAAACGAAGGTTCACAAAACCAGCACAAACCTGGTCGCAATATTTGTCAGCCAGCCAGGCGTTGGAGCACAAGTGCGCGCAATAAGGGCCGTCAACGTCGTCACCCCAGCCATTCCAGTCGTGGTCGACCAGAGACGGAGAAACGCCGTTGGGCAAAGTACCGTCGTTGACGTCACAATCCCCGCCGTCGAACTGACACACGGAAATATTACAGGCCAAGTCGCAGGCCCCGTCGTGAATCCACGCTTCAGGACACCCTGGGTCGCATAGCTGGACGTCCCAACTCAAGTAAACCTGCGGGGGGAATGCGCAAATAGATTAATTTTTAGTTTTTTCTGCATCTAGTTTTCACTTTTTCAAAACATTTTTATGGTGGCTTTATTTAAAAAAAAGGACGCACGCAGTATTCCGAGAGAAAAAAATCCCTTACCCTCTGACCCCAAATCTCAGAATAAAAATCCAGGGAACAATCCAAGATGTGCCGAAGATTCATACGGTTTCTTCAGTATTAATTTTTCATTCCTCTCAAAGAAGGGTTAGTGGATTGAAAAAAATAAAGGCAGGGACATACAAAGCATTTCGAAAAAACACATTTGTCACAGAATGTTTGAATCTTATGACAAAAGAAACTGATATTGCGTTTTGTAGAAGACATTTTATGAAGGGCAAATGAAACACATCACTCAGCAGGGTAGCCTGCCTGTCCCCAATTACAAGGGACTGAAGTTTAAATTGAAATGTATTTCATAGTTTTAACTGATATAGGT